AAAATTTGATCAAATATTTTCAAATATTTGATTCAAATTCAAAATTTTGCGGAGAACTACGAATGACATGTGACATAGATCTACATAGTTAGCAGCCAATCGAATACGATTTTTGTCTCATAGTGTTTATCTCATAGCGTTTATACACAACTGCATATTATATATTAGATAATCATTATAATCATTATACTCATTATCTTCCCTATAATCGTTATAACCCATATAACCATTATCTTCTAAACCTTTTTGGCTCCCGAGTCACGTTACTCTCGTGCAGTCACGTTTTCGGTCTGTCTCACGATGATCCCAGACAACCAAAACTTGTACATATTAATATATACGTACGTAATCGGAGTTGAATTCATATTCTCCGGAAATCGATCAAGTTTTTAGGACTGATTCTATACCTAAACTTATATCTTCCCGGATTATTTTATTCTTCTATTTCTGTTTCGCATACTTTTATATTGTAGCATCTAAGAATCGTATACACCAAAGTGGTTAATAATCATATAAAAAGTTTTTCATCTAAAGAATTATTAAAATATGGTATATTCAGAAGAATGGCTCGAAAATGCTATTAATAAAGGGCACATTAAATTTTACGATTATAATGAATCCTCTATCCTCGAACAAATTGGTAAGGGGGATTCGGAACTGTATATAAATCAGAATGGGAAAACCGCGGATCAACTATTGCCCTTAAAGAATTAAACATTACGTCTTTGGATGAAATGACCATTAAAATATTTGTTAGAGAAGTAAGAGATTATACTCTTTTGTAATTGGACAATGTAATGCAAGGATATTATGATCTAATAAATACGCATTATTAAACATTATATATTCAGCTTAAGAACTTACAAAAAGTTTGCGAGCATCCAAATATTATTGAATTTTATGGTGTCACTCGAGGTTAGTAAATAATAAATAAATGGTATTTGTAGCACATTTAATTAATAATTTTTTTTTTAAAAAAAAAATACCTATTTACAATAGACCGTGATCGTCCAAATGGATTTTATAATTTCTACAATTTGCAAATAATGGAAATTTACGTGAATATTTAAAAAAATAATTATTCAGAGTTTGAATGGACTGATAAATTGCGAAATTTCGGAAGGTCTTGTATTCCTACATCAAAATAAAATTATCCATAGAGATCATGTAAGTATTAATCTATTCATAAAATGATTTTTATAAATAGTCCCATTGAACGTATGTTATTCAGATTTTGTAAATACCTTTTTCTAGCATTCCAAAAATATTCTAGTTCATGAGGGAAAAATGATGATTGCAGATTTTGGTTTATCAAAAGAAGAAACTTCAAGGACCTCAAATTCTATCGTTCATGGAATGATAGCATATACTGAACCTCAATGTTTCGTAGACGAATCATATAAACGTAACAAGAAATCTGATATATATAGCTTTGGAGTAATTCTTTGGGAAATTTCAAGTGGTCGATCACCATTTCAAAACAATAGCATTCGTACTTTCGAATCAAAAATAGCCCTTTGTTTACGCATACTAAATGGAGAAAGAGAAGAACCTATTGAAGGAACACCAGACTCATATCTTCAACTTTATCAAAGGTGTTGGGATTATTACCCGGACAAGCGTCCAGAACTGGATAAAGTTTTAAGAAAGCTTAAGGACCTACTAGAAGAAGAAACTATTGGTATGTATAATTCAGTGAGTTGCACGTTCAATGTTAAATTATTAGTTTTCAATATTATTTGGACCGTATTCGTATTCGTAAAAGCATGGTTTTATAGAATATGTTTGCGCATTATATTTTTGATAGATTTAATTTCTCGATCTTATTAAATTTTTTCACCATTTAATTATTTAGGAAAATCTAATGATAGTACGTATCTGGATGATACAAGCAAACCTGAAGAAATTGCGCTTAGAATCTCGAATTTGGACATGAAAACTTCTCCGGTTATGCGTCCAGAACTGGATGAAACTTTAAGAAAGCTTAAAGACTCACCGGAAAAAGAAAATGTTGGTACGTATAATTCAATGAACCGCACATTCAATGATAAATTATTCATTGAATTAATTATTACTTGAATCATATTCATATTTGCAAATATTTAATAGATTTAATTATTCACTTTTATTAAATTCTTTCACTATTTAATAATTTAGGCAAATCTAACGACAATACGTATCTAGATGATACAAGTAAATTAGACAAAATTATGCTTAGAATCTCGAATTTGAACATGAAATTGTCCACTTGTTCGAATGACGATTCTGAAAAGTTATTGAAAGCAATACAAACTATAATACAAACTCTATTTAAGCTTGTGGATGATTTATTTTTGGAATACTTCTTGAACGCAGGAATATGGATATTACCTCGATCACGTGATGCGAGTGAGCGGGAATTGGGCCTTTTATACAAAATCTATTCAATTTATCACATGATTTATATCGTATTGCTTTTTTTTTTTACTCAAAATAGAAACTGTGATACATTAAAAAACTTCCCACATTTATGGGAGTAACATAGTAATAGGATCATGCAGTGTATTCAACCAATCATCATCTCAGAAGGAACATACGGACTTGAGCACGTGATAATGATGGTCGTAAAAACAGTATGTCCGCTTCGCTCCGGACAATAAATCTTACATAGCAAATAGTATTGTAATGTACTGGAGAAATAAATCAACTACCGTATCCTGCCGTGAATAAGCACCCACCTTTT